CTTTTGCTAATGTTAGCAAACTTAAGATATTATTGTGTTACTGAGATGGCAGAGTCAGTTTGTACTTCATACTCTTCAACTTGTGCTTCTGTTAAACTTTAGTTTTAACATGTCAAAGGTAAAGATTTCAACAGTTTTATAACAAAACTTAGACAAGAAACTGTCTTGTAATTGCCAGCAAGGTCTGAAATTAGCACCCGTCACAAAACACACACACCCAAAAGCCAGCTCAGGGAACACCTGTGGTGACTCTTCAAACCAAATTCACCAGTGGAAGAGGCCCAGTCCGTGCTAAGTGACAGCAGGTTAGCTTGCCGGCCGGACTACTGCAGGTAACTCCAGTGTTGCTGGATTTTATATTATTATTATATTGCCTGTATATTACACGCAAGAGGCACCCCTTGGGTTTATTTTTTTTAAATCAAAATGAGTAAGATCAGGTTTCTGTTGAGATATGGACTCTTGTTGAGATCGTTGGTGGTTGAACTGTGGGCTTTGTATTGAGCACTGACTGTAATACACTGTGGCGAAGGTCTTCTGTGCTTTGTGTTTTGTCATCTGTCAGTACCTTTGAAATACCTGGTTGTTAGTGGGTCCTTTGTAATGTAATTGTCATGTTATGTTTCTGATTAAATATCTTGAACATTGAATGACAAGATTAATGATGTCTGAATGAGCTCAATGTTTTTCTTTAATTTAGTGCATACAATTCAAAATTGGCAAATCAAATTTCAGAATTATTTAATTTAAAGAAAAGTTCAATTCAGACCCTGATTGCCACTTATGCCACAATTACGTAAGTCAGTTACACACATTTCCAATCAAATGTAGCACACATTATTAACAGAATTTCCATAAAATCTGCAATAGAAAATGTGAATTACTTTGTGAATGTGAATTACATTTTCACTCACTGCTGTTAATTTTCCATCCAGGCACAGTTAAGCCATTGCAGAAGAACACATATTTAAAAAGTGCCAGTCAAACCTCAAGCAAATAATAATGTGGAAAATGTGATGGAAATATGGCATTTGTGTTAGTTTCATGTATTTGACATGTATTCTTCTGAATGTTACTGTCTCCTCCAGCTGATGTTTGCATCTGTCTCCAGTGTGAAAGTGAACACATTTATTTGCTATGTCTGTTATAATTGCACTTTGATGCATTTTGTTTTTATCGATATACCAACTTTCCTACCTCAGACCAGCGTAAAAATCTTTTTTTGCAAAATATTGCAACTTTTTTTAACATATCACATCATGTAAAAACTTGTGAAATGCACTTACAGTGTAAATGCTCCGTATTTGTATAGCGCCTTTCTAGTCTTTTCGACCACTCAAAGCACTTTTACACTACATCTGCATTCACCATTCACACACATTCACTGAGCCTAAGTGCTCAAACAGAAACTAACATTCATACACTGGTGGATATTGCTGTTCGCAGCAGGGAACAATCATCATCTCTTGTATACAAACAGATGCACACATTTTTAGGAGAATGCAGCCACATGCCCACTCCTCCCTGTGGTGGCGGTGATGTCACCACACAGGTGCAGCAGTGAGGGATTAACCACTAATGACCGCCTGTCATTCCCTTAAAAGTCTCTAATCGGTCCACGTCATGAGGAGGCAGCTTCGGCTCGCCTCCTCTTTGTCTTCTCTGAAACACTGCTCGGTTGTAAATTCTCTCTAAGCCTATGTCTCTGTAATAATGACACATTTCCTCCAAGCAATAGTTGCTCTTCCCTGCTGCTTTTAGATCCTCTTGGATGTGGCTATTGCTAATAGCATAGTATTAAGGCAGAGACAGGTTATAGTTAGTACTGGCATTACTGACGCTTTGATGTACAGCACGCTTGATCCTAAGCTCTGGCTTGGTGGCCATTACTTCCTTGGCTAATAAATGTCGAAAGGTGCTGAGATATTGCCTTTTCATTGTTTCAGTCACCCAGGTCAGGTAATAGATCACCTTTTTGGATGTCTTACCACTCATTTGAAAGGCTCTGTTAGACTTTGAACTCCATCTCAAATGTTTTCAGGTACAATTTTCAGGTAGTGGAAACTTTTCTGATTTTAGAATACAAGCTCCTCTGATAACTATTAAATTTCTGTGACTACTTTTTTTAATCGTGAGAAAGCCATGAAAAGGTGTGTTTTCTCCTAATCATTTAATTTAACCCGGACCCTGTCACACAACACTATTCCAGCTGTTCCAGCCATGATTTGTGTGTCAGGTAACGTTAAATGACTTGCCCATGGACATTCATCTTACTTTCAAGTTCGCCAAGATATGCTGTTGTTGGGATGTTAGCAGGAGAGTGGTGAGTATCGCTGTCTGGAGCGGCTGCGCTGGGTCTGGGACCGCCTCGTCTTCTCTGCATGTTAGCTTCGCAGCAGCAACTGTTTAGACAGTTTGCTAACTCACAACTTAGCTAAAGGTAGTTAATTTTTTCTATCTGTGTCGTTGTTTGCTCAATATCATGGTATTTCTCATGGAACTGGAATTATCCAGTATCATTTTATCCACCTTTAGCTGTCTGTACTACTTAGGAGTTTTGTTATTCCATGTTTGTTGCATTCAGCCATCACAACTCAACCTTATTTGAGATCAACATTTCCTTTTTTAAAAATAGCATGTCCCGGATTTTTTCCGTCATGTCATGATGCCAGATTGGGCAGCGTCACCATCTTTTTGGTCTCTTTTGCAACAGCAGTCATTCCTGTCATGACCTTGTTGACGATACTAGCAATGTTCTGTCTATTTTGTTTATGTTCCATTTCGTTATCAATGATAACACTCTATTTATCTGCTGTAGGCATGCCTGGCTGTCCATGTCAGTGAAGCCCTTTGCAAGGTCTCTTTCTTTTCTCTTATGAGGTTGGGTAGTTGTACGTCAACTTTTCTCATAAGTTGTGTTTGTCATTCACACTTGTAAATGTATTTATAACATTTATTATTTATATGTTAGTACTGTGCAACGTTTTTACACTTTAATAATTAAGTGCTTTACAAAAAGTATTTAAAGAATTACTTGACCAAACAAATGCAATTAAGAACTTAAGAGGCAAAGGGGTAAGTACACATGGGCAATAATAGGCTTTTTTGACAGAAAAAAACACAGCTTAGCCAACAAAAATGTCTGTTTGAGTGAGACAGGCTGATATATTTTATACTCTATGTATAGCACATTATATTGATGACTTGCAGTGAAAGAATGAGAACAACTTTAAGTTCCCCTCCACTCAAAAATGTGTTTTGCTTGTGGTATGTTGGAGTTTCACTGTGCAAAATGATGTATGTGCAGATCTTCACTCTAGAAGCCTGTTTTCACATCCATTTTCACATTCCAAGTTTAAGATGTGTACGTTTGAGTATGATTTTAGACGTCAGTTGTGGTTCAATATGGAACTTACACAAGTGTAATGTGGAGAAGGAGACATTCTGTGTCCGGCAAACTTTTGAATAAAAAATTTATAGATTCAGAATTTCACAATGAGGGAGAAAGAGTAAATTGAACGGAATTTTTCTTTAACCCTTTTGCTGAACTTTATATGGCTTGAAATCATGTCTGAAGGGGATCTTTAACGATCTGGGTGTCAAGTTGTATTTATAGTCAAGGTCAGGCCCCTTGAGTCCAAGACCTCAGCCTTTACAGGCTGCCAAAACATTCTGCCAGAAAGCAAATTAGTATTACTTAAATACTTACTTAAAGCAAATCAGTTTTAATTAATTAAACTCTTGTAGAGTCCTCTGGTCTCGCCTACAGTACCCTTTTACTCAAGAACATGTTTAGACCACAATTATTGAGGTTAAGCATGTATTAATTGTGTGTGTTGTAATGCTGTCCTAAGGCAGAAAGAAGGAGGTGCTGTGACAAAGATGTTTAGTTGAATTTTAAACTCAGGATACATGTTTCACATTTTACGTGTACAATTTCTGCAACTGAGCCACTGAGATTCCCTTCAGTCTTATGACAATGGCAGCAATTCTTCTGTTTGTCTTACTAAGACGTACAATAGATGAGCTTTTACAGCCTCCCTCATCCTCACAACTTCTTTGTGTGTGTGGTCCACTGATTAAGAGTGGTATTTATGAGGTTGAATGCTGAATACAGGAATTCTCCACTGCACACCAAGGAAAGCAGTACTACCGTTTGCTTTCTTAATACTCATACATATGCAACCACACACACACACACACACTCACACACACACACACACCTTCTATGCCGAGTCTAGGTACTTTCCCTTCCTCCACATCCACCCAAAAAAACACACACACACCCTGTTACAACAAGGTGAGTTTTGTGCCGCCTTGTGTATTTCTCATTTCCTTTCCAGTGATGTTTTTATTAAAAGATAAATTGTAGACGGAGCTCAGTGTAAAAAGAACATATTAATTCAGCTGTTGCTTAATTGCATCAGGGATTTAGACATACTCTCTCGTCCAATTTGCTTGTACAATTCCCTGCAAAAGCCCTCAGCTTGCTCCTAATCTGCAAACGAAGCAAGTGTTGTTTTTTTTTCTTAAAAGACAATGGATTTATGTTGGGATTAATAGAAGTGGAGAGATGTAGCAACATCCAAACAGTCCAGCTCTATCACTGAATTCAATTTAGCATATTTTTCTGTTTCTCTCACACCGCCTGGAGCATGCCTGGGTACTTCTTCTGTTTTCTTACAAAGCCTCTCACTTTCTTTTTCCTTTCCCTGTTTCCTGGGTGTGTCCCCCCCCCTCCACACACACACACTACACTGACTTGCATTCATTTCCTATTTCCTGTACCGCTACGTACTTGTCTAACCTTAACCCTAACCTTAAATCAAGTCATCACCCTAAAATGTAATGATTTTGGTTATAGGGACTTGCATCTTGTCGCCAAATGGAAGGCGAGTCCCTGACTGTGTAAACAGATTTATGTCCCCACAACATATGTAAAACACGCTCACAGACACACACTTATCTTTTTAGTATATTCACTTGCGGGAGCTCTCATGTGACATAACACTTTTTATTAATTACATTGTATCATGACAGACTGGTCCACGTTCAGAGAAAAATCATATCATCATCATCATCATCATCATCATCATCATCATCATCATCATCAAGACTCACTGTGATCATTTTCACCACGCAACTGCATGACTGTACAAGTTTCCTCTGGTGTGTGTTTCTGTGTGTGTGTGTTTACTGTACTACCAATCTGTTTGCAAAGACAGACATTAGCTGCATCAATCAGAATATTTCCAGCTTTTAATCACCTTATGTGCTTTTTAAGAAAGATGCTCTGTTTTAGGCATAGAAATAACATTTCAGCATCTCTTTCATACAGAAACCTTGCAGTGTTTTGTCCTTTGTCCTATTTTAAGCCTTTTACAATCCAAACAGCCACAACACATTCAAAATCCTGCTTTTTTCCCCTACCATGCTGGCAGCAGCGAAACCCTCAAAACACAGAGACAAAGATCACAGAACCAAAAACTGAAAAACAGGGATACTGCATATAGCAAATCACAGTTTCTTGTTCTTTTCTATTTTTTTTGTTTTTGTATTACATTCTTCAGGGTGTAGGGGTTCCAGGAGCATCCAAGCTCAAAGGTAATCTTTAAGATGACCTTTATGATATTTCAGCTCTTTTAGCTTAGACTGTGATGTGAGGGGTTGTGAGGGGAAGGGGGATTAAATGTGATATGGATCAGAACACACTCAAAGTCGGGATGTATATGTATGTGGATGTGGATGTGTGGACTGCGCTTCAGGTCACTGAGCCACATGGTTTTAGCAATATGTTATAGTGAGGCGATAGGCAAAAAGAAAATATCCATTCATATTGCTGATATATGTCTGTGAAACCCAGGTTTTAGTAAGTTGTGTCCAGAAGGAGGCTGATTTTGGAGACATAAATAATGCAATTGAGTGATTCCATAAATCTTAGCTGCCATAATACCAACCTCAGTCCAACACGACTGGGTAAAGTCATTTATCATGAATTGGTGAACAGCGACAACAAATCAATTCCTGAATTCTCCGTTGAATCTCATTGCATTTGAACTAGGATTTGGCTAGAGTCTAAATCCCTCCTGACCTCACTCCAGTATCAATCAGCCTTCTCCACACACACTCACACACACACACACACACACCACTGGGAGAATGAGCAAACACCGCTCTGCACCCCGGGGGCTGCTGTATGTCATCTTGTGTATTTGTGAGTCCCATGTATAGAAACTCATTTCTCTGCCCTCCACTTGTAAGAGAAAAGAAGAAAACAGTACAATCTAAATACTGACACAGTCTCGGACACAGCAGTTTGTGATGCTTTGATGTTTCTTTCAGCAGCATATTCACATTTGTACATTTCTATTTTTGTTCATTCCTCTCGCTGTTATTTCATTTTACAAAAAAACAAAAAGAAAACGTAGCACTTTTAGAGACCAAAGTTTAAAACTATCACATACAGTATAGGCAGCATAGAAGAGAAAAGTTGGTTGAATAGTCTATTTTACAGTAGGTCACTTGAAGAAGAAGAGAAGTCTGTGATTGTCAGTCCCTCCTTTTCTGAGGTGTCCATTCATACAGCAGTTGTTTTTCCTCCCTTTTTTTTCTGTTTGACCAATATGTTTTGATCTGAGGCATCGATACGAAGATGGCCGATCTTCAGCCAGAGTAAAAGTTTCACAGAGAGCTCCTGCAGTGTGCTGCCTTCATCAAATTAAACACCAATCTTCTGTCAAAACATCACTGCTGTCCAACCTGACACAGTTCATTATTTGAAAAAAAAAACAAAACAAAAGAAAACAAAACAAAAGGAGGAACACAGCAGGTACGTACGCACAGTGCAACCAGCTGGGATGTTGCTTTGACCTACTCTACTCTTGACATCAGAGGCGTTTGTATGCGCTGTGTTTGTTTCTAACCGTTTTTGTTTTTTTAGCTCACACACAGGCCCTCACACACCTCTGTTATTGCACTGAGTTATTGTGTGGCAAGTTTTTGAATGGCGTTGAGTGTGCTCACTCAGTGCAAACTCTACTTGACTATACAGCAGGGATGGATTTTGAGGACCTCGTTAGCCTGCCTTGTCAATGCGGCAGCCATTAACCCTCGCATCCATGCTCTGCCAGGTGACAATAATTCTGCAATATGTCAAACTAAATCTACAAATGTGGCAGACGGGTGAAACATCCATCCCTGTTGTAGAGCATGCTGTACATGGGGACAGCTGTTAAGAGGGGAGCCTGACATAAAAATACATGTACACTCAAGATTATCTTTATACATTTGCTAAAACATAATTACTTAAACCAGTAATCATTTTCAGTCAGTTTGTTGTTGCAAAAGGCAACCTTAAATATAGAAAGAAATGTACAAAATTTAAAATTTTAAATAATAATACTATAAATTTTTAAATAATAATACTATAAATCAATAAAATCAACATTTTCAAGTTCACAAACATCAATACCATCAAGTGCTGTTGTTAATAAACAAATAAGACTTATATTTCCAGATTGATGTTTTACATCTGATTAAAATGGCTATTGGTAAAACCGCAATGATTATGACTTTTCTAATATGTCCATAAAGAGTAAAATATGCCTCGGTAAAATGCCAAAACAATCATTAAATGTGTTTCCTTGCATGCATGTGACCTGTTGTATATATACACAGTGTGTCTGTAAGCATCTTCATCAGATATGTGAGCCGTACTGTAAGTGAGTCAAGTGGATCTCAACGATGGGGCTGTGTGGTGCATTTAAGCTGTTGGTGGATTGCTTGTAAAATGTGTGTCTGTGCATGCGGTTGAGGCCAGGAATGTGATGGGAGCGTTTAGTTGAAGTTGTGGCTTATAGAACATCTGCAGGCCGCAGTAATGATGGATGCTCAATCTCACTTTCACCCTGAGGGCAATCATACCTTCTCTCTCCCCCCTTTTAATACTCCTCTATCTTTTCTTTCTCCTTCATCTTTCTCCTCATGACCCAGTCGTACCTTTTTCACTCCCATCGCCTTCTCCTTTCTACTCCATTGCTTCCCTTCTGAACTCTCTCCATTTCTTTCCTATACGCATTATTACCTCTCCCGTTATTTCTCCTCTCCACTGCTCCTCGTTCCAGGCCCCTCTCTCTGTTTTCTTCCCCTTCACCTCTCCATCCTTCCTTCTCAGCCATAAAACAATAAGTCTTGAATGTCTGTGAGGAGACTGTGCTAATGGAGCCCATTAGACTGTAATGAAATATACATTACACCATTACAGTGGACGGGGCCTGGCTAAAGCACTGCACCGCTCAAATAATAAAACATGCACAATTCAATTTCCTTCTCAGCCCGTTTTGAGTGTCTTTCAGTGTGTGTGTGTGTGTGTGTGTTGTCGGATGCATCCCCTCTAGCACAGATGTGGTTTTCAAGGATGTCTAAGTGCCGAGAGCCTTGATGACTTAATATGGGTTGACCAAATGAACCACACCTTCTACAGTGCCACCACCCACACATCTGACCACTTAAAACCCAGTCTCCCTTTGCAACTTTCACGCCCACCCCCTCAACACCAAGACCTCGCAGTTGTCGGACAGCTGTGGACAAATGAATCAATTGACCTCCGACACGAGTGCTTGACATCACAAGTGAAGCATCTGTCACTTCGGAGGGAGAAAAAGTGAAGTAGTCATCATGTTACCCTGTGCTGTATGATAGTGCAGAGGCCGGAGCAAAGTAAATCTGTAACAGAAAGCAGTGCAGTATGAAGTATGCAGATATGAATGCATATATACCCTCATAATCATGTATATTAAGTCTGTTGCACGAGGAGATATTGTAGATCAGTGCCAGATAGATTTACATATCTAGTATTCACAATTACAGTATAGCAGAATACCTCAGCCTTCTTCTTGAATTCCTTTTTTCACCACAGCAGTTCAATTCAGCTTCAACAGGCACTGTATTGTTAGTGATTTTTTTTAATTAGTGAAATTAGCCAATCAGAAATCATCATTTGTCATCTGACAGACAGAAAACCAGATGTTTACTTCCTTTTCCTGGTAATTATTCAGTCAGTCTGCTGTATGTGTACTGGTGTGTTAATCATCACCTTGTTGGATGAACGCTGACATTAATACTCTTGTACAGTTCTGAGACACAGACAGAACGACAGACGGACAGACAAGGTGAGAGGGGAAAACACAGTGTCTCTATGGCTCAACATTGCACGGAGCCATTTCCTCTGAAACATCTCACCGTTTCAGTCTTCTATTTACACACAAAGGATTGAAGTTTCCGGAAATCCTCCCCACGCTGCTCCTCCTTGAAATTTTCTGGCTGTTCAAAATGTATTACAAGTCCTGTTGATCAGGTTTCATCAATTTAGCCCCAGTCAGTTTAAAGCATTTGAAAAGAAGTGAGAAGCCCCCCCCCCAAAGTTAAATCACTCTTCGTAAATGTCTCCTCTGGAAGGAAGGAGGGAAAGAGTAGCGATGCACAAAGGAGAGGAAATTGGCAGGGAGAGAAGAGGCGATTGGGGATGAGTTTTGGGGAATTTTTTGATTGCCTTTAAGAGTTTGATAATAGCTTCACATCCTGTACAGCGGTACCTCGCACACACACACTTGCACAAGCATCGCACACTTCATTCACAGATGTCACCACCCTGGCTCTCTCTCACACACACACACACACACACACACACACACACACACACACACACACACACACACACACACACACACACACACGTGCATGCAACCTCAAATGCACATACACACTTAGATACAGTAACGATCCACACACATCCAAAAATCTCCTCCTTCCTCCTCCTGTGTTCAGCCCAGTATATCCAGGTATACAGGCGACGCCTTGGCCAGGTTGAGGAGCAGACCGTGGATTTCTTTGATGTTGAGTCTCGTGTGCGGCTCTCTCTGCCAGCAGCCCAGCATCAGGTCATATACCTCTTTAGGACAGGTCCTGGGGCGCTGCAGCACCCTGCCCTGGGTTATACACTCTATCACCTGCAGAGGAAAGAAGACAGACATCAGGTTTAATGTCAGCAGTAGTCTTGGCCCTCTGTTACAAACAAACACCGTCAGTGAGGATGATGGAGCATCCGCTTAGTGAAGCTGTTTCACCTCGCTGCAGTAACATACAGTGAAAATGTCACTGTGAATAAATTACTTACAGAAGCGAGGAAGTTAAATGACACTGGAGTAGTCAGCCAGAAAAATCCTATCCCATTTCTCAATTGCAATGTAAGAGGAAATTTTGTTATTTGAAATAAACTTAAGAAAATACTGATTTTAGCTTTAAATCTAATTTCGATCAGGGACTTGTGGTTCAACAAGAGGAGACTCTTTGAAACTACTATATAAGAGAACTCTTCTCAGTTTTCAGTACAGCAAGTACCGTATATTAATCTCTGGTAGCGGTTTGGAAAATATCCATACTTTTGATAGCCTGTGATATAATTAAGATTTTCATAATTTCGTCAGCCATTAAATACACCCCGCTGTGTGCGTGAAGTGAATACCAATTAATGGCTTCCATTAAGATCCAAAAACCAGTTGTGTGTCTTCCAAATTGTTGTATATCCGTTTCAAAAAATTTAATACCTGAAGATTATCATTCAATATCTCTAAATTATCAAGAATCCAGTTTGTAAGAGTCTCATCATTCCTTGCTAATCGAGCCGTTACCTACTTCTCCTGACTCTGTGATTGTTATCAGTTTGTGAGAGTAGATAAATAATGAGGATCTCATTTTGGAACAAAGCTCAAATATCCTGTGTACAAGATATCGTGATTTGGGTCAGGAGGTGAGTGAACTGTGAATCAAGAGAGATTTATTAGATGTAAACGGGAAAAGAAGACCGCGGGAAGGGGCCAAAGGTTAATTTTGGGTGTAACCAAAGTGTGTCAGGAGAAAAAAGGCTGCTGTAACCAGAGTCATCAGAGAAATCATTGTTGAGGTGAAGGTGAAGGGTTGAAGGGCTCTGAGCTTTATTTTCCGGAAACTGGGTCAAGACCCAGAGTGTAGTAAAGGGAAGATTTGTAAGAGTTATTAATTATTCAGAAGAAACAGACAATTGCATGCTTAATTATTTATTTGTTTACTTGTTTACTTGCTCTGTTTACACTTACATGCTCCAAAGACATTTTGGGCTGGCCATGCATTTAACACAGTAAGTCAAACTGAGGGAGCGAGTGTTTAATAAAGATGAAATTTTTTAATGATGGTTTTGTTTTCCTCTTTGTAGTTTTAAACCTGTTAAATCATCTTATTCCACACTGTATGACAATATATTCTCTATCTGCTTGTTTCAGCTCTTCATTGAAGCTATGTGATGTTTACACTGTGTGAAATCTTCAAAACCAAAAATCCATGTTTTTTATTGGTTGCAATCCTCACTGTAAATATTCTAGATATTCTATGCATCATTTTGACCCAGGTTCGGCCTGATGTATTCGGTAACTTCACCTCTGGTGGATTTCAAAATATCTGTGGGCTTAAAAAGATTTGTTTTACTGTGTGTTCTCTGTCAATAACCTGTGTATATTTCTTATTTGTATTTGACATAGTCCTATTTGTACATTTTTAAACTCTTTACTTTCTCTTTTCTTTCTATATTTATGTTCATGTAAGCACCAAAATACCATGGCAAATTCCTGGTATGTAAAAATGTACCTGGCAATAAACCTGATTCTGATTCTTTCCTCCTGCTCTCCCCCCTCTCCCTCCCTCTCTCCACAGACAGGCTGCTGCTTCTTAATGGATTTAAATGGCAACTATCTTTATTAATTGAGATTATTATTATATTATTAAAAGAGATTTTTACATTTAAAATCTCTGTTTAATATCCTTGTTAAATGAATATTCTTGGCTTAGGTCTGTTTGTTAAAATAAGGGGGCATCTGGAGATGGGCTCAAACAATCAATTTATAGAGAAAATTATTTTCAGAGCAATTGATATTGAAAGTAATGGTTTGTTTGCAGCCTCCATGGTCAATACTTATGTTTACTATTAGTATAAATCCTCATTTTAGTGGCTGTGTGCTGGATGTGAAAAGTACTTAGGGAACAAATCATGAACCAGATTAACAAAAAAAGTGACATGTTGTGGGCCCCTTGTGAAAAATAGGGTTTTAAAAGATTCCTTTCCACTAAAAACGCTAGACACCGCTGCTAGCTCCAAGCTCCCCAGCTCTGTGTCGTACCTTACAATTAATTCAAGACACGATGAAATGATAAACAACATATTGAGTTTCCAACAGATTTGCTTTAGCTTTATATAATGAGATGACTCAGGCCAAAGAATTCACACAACGTATACCTATGAGAAATTTGCACACAAAACTGATTAAATATTTAGTTTTATTTCTGAGGGGCTTTCTCATGTCTTGGGGCTGTAGCATCTTGTTTGCAATCACTTATTAAGCAGAAGCAGGTGCATTCATGGTTACATTTGCATAAATATTGTTGTTTTGTACTTTTGACTTCAATTCATTTTGTTCAGATTACACGTTACAACATTGTGATGGATCAGTAACCTTCACAGTTAAATGTTCATAGCCTCTCCTGTTTTTGATTCTGTGTGTACTGTTGAGTTCAGAAGTGAAGTTTTTCACTGTACCTCATTATTGGAGAGCTGGTACCACGGCTGTTTTCCATAGGTGAAGATCTCCCAGAGAACAACTCCAAGACTCCAAACATCACTCTCTGTGGTGAACTTTCTGTACATGATGCTTTCAGGGGGCATCCAGCGGATTGGCAGCATTGTGTGACCGCCGACCTTTGAATACAAAGAGAGAATAAAGTAAGTATAGTGTACAATGACTGTAAGGAAAATTAAGATTTAGAGAACTATTCAATATAATCATCCTCTGTCTGTTCTGCAAAATCATGCATTTTAACTACATGGTCATGCAGCTTTTCACATTTCTAACAAGGGTTCACTCAGAAATTATTCCAGGATTCTATTTGTAGACTTGTGCTCTGCCTTTAATACAATGTGACGTCACACCGTGATAACTACACTCCACCACCTCCATGTGCCACCTCTCCTCATTCGCTGGATCCATAATTTCCTCAGTGACAGACCACAGGCAGTGAGGGTGGGACGCACCACATCCACCACCATTAATGTCAACACTGGAGCCCCCTAAGGCTGCGTCCTCAGCCCCTTTCTCTACACTCTGTACACCAATGACAGCCTTAGCCCCTCTCACATACAAGATACTTAAAATACTGATGATGACACAGCCATACTCGCCCTCCTCTCTAACACAGAGTCAGTTGCAGCATATCACCAATCCATTGCCCACTTCCCACTGGCTTCCCAATGCTGCCAAGACAAAGGAACTCATACTGGACATACGCCGTAAACTCTCCACCCCTCACTGCCCCATCTCCATAAACAGCCAGCCAGTAGAAATTATTGACAGCTTCAGGTACCTTGGCATCACCATGGACAATAAACTGAGTTTTGATCACTGCATCACAGACATCCGCAAACGCTGTCAACAAGGACTTTTTGTCATATGTAAACTCAGGACTCTCTCAGTCAAACCACACCTACTGCTTCTCCTGTACCATAGTATCATTGAACCCATCCTCTTGTACTGTGCTACCTGCTACTTCCCCATGCTCTCTCTCACCAATAGGAATAAGTTTCTTAAAATCACTTCCTTCAAAATAATAGGTCTTCCGATTCCCAACCTGTCAGCCTTCATTAATACTGCCACTGCTCGCAGAGCAACTACCATAGTACAAAATCCCAGCCACCCTCTCAACTCAATCTTCACCCTTCTCCCATCTGGCTGTAGATATAGACAGCTGCTCTATAAAAAGGCACGCTTTGGGAAAATATTTGTACCCTGCGCTATAAGAGCGTCAAACTCACAGACAAGTTAATGATGTCACTCCTGTGTTATATGTGTAGAGATGTGTACATTGCTTGTGTATGTGTACTATGGGTAGATTGTGTGTAGTATTCATGTTAAAGGTGCTCTTTGTACAGACTGTGAAAACACATTTCTTCCACTGAGGACAATAAAGAATGAATCTGAATCTGTAAATGTGAAAAATAAATTCTCCCATATCAGCTAAGTGATCAAAACTAGATAAAGAAAAATGGCTAGCTCCAGTAAACAGTCAAATGTTTGCTATAAAATGTTTGAGCCAGTTTGTGTGAGTCAGCAAAATGTTAGCCATCACTCAATAATAAATACATATCTGATAGAGAATAAATTATTGCAGTATGTGCACTGCTAGTGTCTCATGTGAGTGAAATTTAATTAGTTTTAAAATATTGTTTAATTAGACCTTAAATCGTATAGCATCACACAGCGGAGTGAGTTCCAGCGATTCTCAGAAAGCATAAATCACCAGCTAATCCCACACAGGAACTCAAAGGCACTCTGAGAGACATTTGGTCATTTCATTAAGCTCTAATCTGAGCCGAGCCTTTGGAGCCTGTTTGACTGTTGTATTCATTAATTTCTGCTGGGACTCTCAAAGATGGTGACTGTAGGCTTAAACCAAGTTGAAAACTTCCCATGCTTCACCAGTGAATAAAAGGTGAGTGAGTTCCCTCAGTCATCAAACATACACTGACATGTAATTACAGTTTTACATTTGGATAAAAACTATAATGATTCACATATTCATTTGATGGCACCCAGCCTTAAAACTGTTCCTCTGTTGAACATGTTTAACCTGAACACGCTCAAAGTGAAAGTGAACGAAAGCTAACCCTGTGTACTGATGTTTTTCTCCCCCTCTCCCCTTACTTCTCCGACGAACATGAATCTACCAACCAATCTGCGCTCCATCACTCCACACAGATAGCACAATCCATTTTCGGAGGTTTATGCCTGTTATTAATGGCTAGGTACCCACACTTGGCCTGTTTCTTTGTTAGTCAGTGGGTTATTTTATGGAGTAATAAAATGCACACGATCACAAAGATAGCCATCAGGCTCACTGGTACGCCTGGAGAAACATATCTGCCTCCATCTCTGCAGCCCTTACTCTTCATAACCAGGACCTCGCTCTTCTCCCTGTAATGTGCCTTGCATTTCTCTCTCTGACTCTGCCAAATTCAAATGTGCTTTATTGGCATAGTTATAATGAAGTACATTATTGTGTAGTGAAGTAGTGTGTTACAATAAGAATGATAATATGGAATTCAATAAAAAAGACAACAAATGGTTTACACATTACAATATATACACTTCAACACACTATACAACACTAGTTGCTATTCTGACTATACATGCTGCTGCTTGATGACTATACATGCTTCCGCTCAATGTTTGGCTAGCAAAAGACATCTACGTGATAGGTGCTATTATTAGAGCAGTGTAAGTTAGGTATTTTAAGGAACAGTGCGTAATGTGTGTGTAGCAAGTGTATGGGTGATCGAACAGAAAGTGACGGTGAAAGCTTGCTGAGCAGAGGAAAGGATGGGACCATGGAGGAGCTGATGACAGTAAAGCAAATTAGGGATGCAACTCATTTTAAGCTAATGAGGAGATATTTCTTTTGTATTTTAATGTGCAAATGAAATGGAATTATCCAGAAATCCTGTATTGAAAAAAGATGCATCGATAATTATTTTATAAGCGCATTGCAGCCTTCTGAAATGCATGGAAATGGTGAGGTGCCTAGAGATTATTACCACCCCTACTATACATGCTTCCACTTGGTCACTATACATGCTGCTACTTGGTGACCGGGCTGGTTAAAGTTCACTTATAACTGACGTTTATGGACTGGCAGCAGTGTGCTACTTACTTGTGGTTTGAATGTTTCCTTTTTCAGTTCCAGGTTTGTTTCAATGCCAAATTTTATTTTCAATAGAAAAATTGATTGTCACTGTTCTTGCCCATACACATCACTAGCTTTGACATATCTTCAGTTTTAATGGTGCAACCTGATTTTGTAAATCACAAGTTTGAAACTAGATGGTAGTTACTTAGAACTTAGGAAGGACCGTAAACACAAATGGATCACTTCGCTATAACATTCGCTAATCATCAGCAACTATAAAATGCATTGCATTGTGGGACATTTTTTGTTTAACTGTGGTGTTTTGTGTAAATGTAATGCACCATAGATTGTGATTAATTTTAGATTATTAGTAAATAAAGTGATTTTGGAAAAAAACGTATATTCTATTCTATTCTATAGACTATTCACCGATGTGTCTATCCCTGCTCATAGACATTAGTCTTTTTGTTTTATTCATCATGGCTGATCATTTCCCCTGATGGTCTGAAATATTAATGTGGGGCTCTTGAACTGCTGGGCTACATGTTTTTATGTTTGTTAACTGTCTTTGTGAATGTGCTTTGAGTGTCAGAGAGAATGAGGAGAAAGGAGGACAGTCTTTTCAAAAAGGCTCTAACAAGACTGAATTGAAAGAGGAAACAAGGAAGAAAACAAATGAAGGCGCAGGAAGGGAAAGCCTCAGATTAAATCTTCTTGTCATTCAGCAGGAGGGGCATTGAATAGTAAGAAAGTCACGTTTACAGGAGAAGACCGAACATTTTCAAAGAATCTCACTGAAGTATAGATGGTGCATCTCTCTCTGACATCAGCTCTTTGTCTGTTTTCTCTTTGCTGCCAGTAACTTCGTCGTCAGTCTTTGTCTCCTTTTCTGTTCCCTTCTCTCTCTCTCTCTCTCTCACTCGTTCTCACCTTCCCTCACTGCCTCTAAGCCCGCCTGTCTGTCTGTCTCTCTCTCCGTCTTATAAATATGCATCATTTCAGCTAGACAGACCACTGCCTGAGTGTTCCAGGAAAGCCTAAAAAAGGGTAACAAATAAAGCAGAGGACGGCTTTGGGATCTCTGTAGTAACCTCCTGGAGGCTGTATTTTATGGCTAAGTATTATGGGATGTGGTGTAGGAGGTGCTTATGTGACTAACTCCGCCTACTCTTTGTTACACACCTTAATTGCCCTCTGTGTTTCTATGGAAACAAAAACTCTTTCCAAGAATGTGTCTATGTGTGTGTGTGTGTGTGTTTTATTCTTTCCCCCTGAAGAATAGAGCTCGTTCTTTTGCCTGGTTCAGATACAGTGAAATGGTTGACATATAAGGTTACACAACATGCTGTTGTTTATTGTAGTGATGCTGCCAGACAAAAAAAAAATTAAATCAGTTATTTAGAACTTAAAAAGCATTCTCACAGTTAAAACCAATATGAATTATTACAGTAGCTGCTGTATTTTTCACTGAAGTACTCAAAATGAAACTAAGCAATATTATAAAATATTCAACTGGCATTTGAAATAGGGTTTTGCTATATGGATTAAATAAATTTTGTGTTTTTAATATTTTTAACAGCAATGTCTCATTCAGTACATTACAATATTTACTGAAGCATTCAAAGTAATACGTTGAAAAGCTGAAATGAAGTTCATCACTTAGGTCAAATGTTTTTCTGAAACCCAGTATGTACTGATTTGGCCTAAATGTAGCATGTAGTATGCAGTATGCAAACAACAGCAAAATCTGCAGTAGTAAGCTATGTAAAAATACCCAGAAGTCGTACTGATTTGGAAAAAATCTACAATATGCATCTGATCAGTCTACCTCGCGTACTGTGTACCACAATGCAAACTGCAAGTGCAGTAGAATGGTAATTTATTTTCCTCCTGTTGTTGGCTTCCACTTTCCAAAACCAGACACTGGCTAAGCCAATATAAGTCAAAAAGTTCAATACTACTACTATGTGGGTGTCAGTTCAACATTCTGTTGAAACTAGCAACCACTACCGAGAAAAC